ATCAGTTGAAAACTGCACAACGGCCAAGTTATATATAAGAAAAAAAAAATCAATCTTATTGTCTCTCATTTAATGCTTAACGACATTTTCTAGATTCCATTATGAATTCATGATCGAGTAGAGCGCAAGAAAAGCTAATAAGATCACGTTATTATAAGCGTATCGCAGATGAAGATGTTTTCCATGTGATATGCGGTATTTTAATTTAAATGTAAACTGAGTCGTTTAGTTAAGAAACAACAAACACCAGTCACAGCCAGTAATTGCAAGAAGAAAAAAAACACCTCGATAAGCCAGTGCATTGTTCATCAAATAATATAGTTAAGCTTAGGGTACGCTTTATAAGTGATGTCGAGAGCTAATTTCCGGCGGACCATTTGGATCACATTGATCGCACCATGGTCTTTGAGCTACGTTTAAATTTTGAACTCAAATTTTTTGATTATTTCTAAGTGCGTTTTTCCAAAATAGAGTGCCTTTGTGCGATATTTTATGATTACACCCTACATTACTTGCGGTGTAGAATATAGTAAGTTTGCGCGAAGGTTTGTAACACCGAGCAGCCAGCTTTTATTAAGCCGACCGATTTGGACAGTGGTTCTAAGCTTGTATGTCTGTCCGTCCTTCCATCTTTTCGATGTGTGTTCATGTATTTCTGTAAATAACGCACAGGTCGCAATTTTTCAGATACCGTCGACGTGTTTTGACTCAAGATTGAATAATATCAGAAGTGGTACAGACTCGAACAATTTCCCCCATACACCACTTCCCACATATGAAAAATATCGGCGAAAAAAAATTATAAAAGATGAGATGATCTTTTAAGGTTACTTTGGATCACGTCAGTTGACGTTCCGGATCCTGTGCGATGGAAAAGTGTGTCTTTCATGTATGTTTGGTGGTGTATTGAGCGGAGCGGTGTAGGGTGTTTACTGATCGACAATGGCCGACTATATTTTACTTATTTTATTCATTAATTCTAAACAAAAACTGTAATTGGTCTCATTATTCTCATAAGTGTCCTTGAGTCACAACATGGCGTAATTCGTTACGAAAGCATGTGATTCGTATTTTCGAACTAAGTATTATTTTAAGGTTGCGGACTAACTTTGCGCGCACTTGCCTAAGGAATACAACAAATTAAGTGAACACGTTAAGATTTAATTTTTAAACGTAGATCAATTAAGTAAATAAAATAAATAAAAGAGAAAATAAATTCTCTTTTCAACTACGAGCTCTCTCACATGCAACACAGTTGCGTATAAATCACAATCCATTCGCCATGCGTTGCGTGAAAATGAACGCGTGAGGAGATATTAGTTTGCCGGAAATGTATATGATGCATGACTTATATAATCTGAAGGAATTAAACGTAGTTGGCAATGACAACAATGTGTATGACGCTCTTTCTGCTGACATTTTTCCGACCATTTTTGAATTATTATCAAGCAGCGGCGGCCACAGCTAGCACACTGAGCGGAATTACAATGTTGCCTAAAAGAACCGATCTATAATGCCCGCCGTCGGTCTCGTTCCAATCTGTGAATGAGCTGCAAAAATTTTCCGAACACCTCTCTAGGCTTAGCCGCAAATTTACCTCGGCGACGATTTATCGACACCGCTTCTCGTTTTTCTTGTCCCATTTATACATATCATTCCTATTTATTTTAAGGTCAACTTAGCGATAGCGATATCTCGACAGAAGATATGCAAGCAACAATTCATTTGAATACATTTTTTTTTTGTCTCTGATCAGGCAGAAAAGTCGACTTCACTGTAACCTTAGATATCGATTGTGGAGCTTCTTCTCGCTTAAATTTCGCTTTTTATACGCTACAACAGTTGTTACACATGTTACGTTATTTTTGAAGATGCATACAACAGCCAGAAGAACTTGAGATAAGCATATCTTATGTTAAACCGATCCATTCAGATTCCTCTGTTCGTCTGACCTTTTTCATGTCCATTTTAATGCTTAATCCACAGCTCGTAATTTTTGGGATATTTTTGATGAAATTTGGTACACCGAAGTCCTTCGGCCCAAGAAAGAATCTGATAGAAAATGGTGCGGTTCAAACTTTCGCTCGCACAAGTTCCTGAAAAAGCTTTATGACGACAATGAATTGCCATTCATGAATTCACATTCTCATCAAACGTGTAAGATGCTCCCAAAAATGAAAGCAGTTGATACTTAAGAATTTCTCCTAAAAACTTTGTATCTTGCCAAGCCTCATGTAATTTCACATCTTTCTATAATCGAAAGGTTTAGGAGAAACAATATGTCGAAAAGGTAAGCCCACATTACACCTCATTACTCTCTTACATAATTTGTTTCTTCCTTCTCTTGTCCACGCGGTTCACAACCTTTTCAATTGTTATAAATTTTTTACGTTGGTTACGCTCTTAATTAATTGCTATTGACTAAACCGGTGCTTAAGTCAATTAATTTCAATTCAAAAGACGATTTTAAATTATTCCCGGTCGCAACTAATGTCCCTGCTTGTGATCGTTGATTTTGTCTAATTCATTTTCAAATGAAGCAACACAAGCAACCGCAACTAGCCGTACGGTAAGCCAACTACTGGACTTTATTTCCTTAATGTTTTTGAATTATTGGCGCTTGCGGCTAAATAACGTATAACTGCTACTAAAATATACATAACTAGTGAGACTTTAACCAGACGAAACACGAAAAAAAAAAAAAAAAACAGGGAATCAGTAAATGAATTGCAAGTGCCGGCAACTTATGGTAAACGTAGCAGAAACGTTTGCTTTACAGTTTTTGTATTATTTTCTTATAACTTGTATATCAATGCTACAAGATCTGTTTTTCTTTGTTTTGTTTTTGCTTTTTGTCAAATCGTAAGCATTTGAGTTTCGTTAACATTTTGCCTTTTTGGCGAACTGGGCTGTTAGCTAAGCTTTAAGCATGTAATTGACGCTTTTAGTTGCGCTTGCTCAGTTTTTAGCAATAGCCATAGCAAACATTACCTGTTGTCCAATCTGCAGTGCTGAGTTCATTTTAGTTGTTATTGTTGTGTGATGGTTTGGAAAACTACTTTGGTTTAAGCGTGTCGTTTGTGTCGATTCAAAAATTGCTGACATACCACCGGGCATTGGACAGCAGGTTTTACTTACTAATGGGTGCTTTACCATTTCATGTTTTGTTGTTCTGTGCTAGCACCAGCAACAGCTGCCTAAGTAAATACAAAAACTTAAGATTCAAAAGAACGCAATTTTTAAAACAAGCAAGCAAGTAAATTAAGTGATTGTTTCGTGTTGCTTAACTTTGATTTTCAAATGCTTGTTAAAGATGTTAATGTGTATTATGCCGTCATCGTTGATTGTCGTGGACCTCAATGGAAATCAGTCGCTAATCAGATTTCTTGCCTTTGATTACCTTATCAACAGAATAAGGAGAAAAATCCTTTAACAAATCGAGTTCAGCAAAGCGAAAGATAAAATGTATATCTTGAAAGGGAGCTTAGAAAGCTTTCATCAATTTGTATTGAGAAGTATTCACATATGCACATAACGGCAGGGCTTTTATAAAGAAGAACAGGACTAAAAATTGTTCGATAGAATTGATTTTTGACAGAGATCGTTTGCGCCAAAACAAGCCAGCGTAATATATTTCTTCAAAATATTTCGAAAATTACATAAACATAAACACAAACACAGGACAGGATGTAAAGGTAGCACAAAACTTACGTCGCTCCTATTAATGTTCACAATTCTATTTGGAGAGTCTTCGTAGCTGTTTACATCAGCGGTGTTACACATATTCTTACAAATTTAATATAAATTTTAGGAGAAAAAATTATTTACTATTTTCTAGAAACAAAACAACAAGAAACCTTTATGGACTTGGTTGTTCACATCGCGTAGCTCAAATTAAATATAATCGTCCAAACTTGGTCGAAAAGATGAAAAACGCCATTAGTGATGTTACAAAGAGTAATTATCAACTGTGCATACCTGGTTTCAATTGCCTTTGTTTAACATTGGTGTGTGGTTATAGTTATATGAAGTGCTCGATCCGTTAACGTTTAACACTTGTGAGTCCACTTACATCATCCAGCGGACACTCCATAATTCTCTCTTCGCACTTCGAGTCAGAGATACATTTCAATATCACCTCCGACTGCCAACGGAATACATAAAGTATATTCCACTAAGGGGCTTAACAGCAACCATAATCACGGCCTAGTAAGGTATTGATAGAATTGGTAGATTGGTAGAATCCAATTCGACTATTAATGCTTCCCGTCGCACTGCCTCCTAAGAAATTCCATGTGAAAAAACAAACGCTAAACATGCAATGTATTTTTAAAACCGAGGAGACACCCTACAATCGGTATCCTTTTGTTAGTAGTACACGTGTATCTAATAACAGCAAGTATAATTACAAAGATGATAAGTAGGAAAGGTGTATCCGGTTGGGGCCGAATCTTGCACACCCAGCACCCTCAAAATCTTTGGCGCCTCATGCTCTTCGTTATTATCATAAAAAAGTGCATCGGATAAAGTTTATCTTTCGTCTTTTACTTAACTAAAAGTTATTGTTAAGAAAAGTGAATCTACCACGTCGTGACATCCACCGTAACTAATTTAGAAATAATAGGCTTAGCTATTTGAATTATACTCTCTCCAAGCCCTTTTATATGATACCTATATGGACGGAGTGGTTAGGAAAAAATATACGTGGGCATCACGCCCACCATAATTAATTTAGAATTAACAATCTTGGCTTGTCGTCTTCGATTCTCCAAATCCATATTGATGGCATTATTCAGAAAAATTAGTTGTAGTCTCCCCCATATTTATTATAGAGTGGTGAGTGTAATAATAATAACAACAACCGATAACATCCAGAAGTGTTCAAAATATTTTAAAAACTAGTAATCTGATAAAAAAAAGCATACCCCACGCAAACTAATATAATTCATTTGTCCTTGAGACACAATTACGTACTTATTTCATGCAACTTGCTTTGTTTATTTTTTCACTCATTTTTATAGTAAACGATATTTAATGGCTCGTAACATGGGAAATTTATCACCTGTACACTGGCCATGAAAATCATCTAAAGTTAAATCGAATAAAGCAATTCCGCCTAAACCGCGATTTTTTGCATATGCGGTCTTGGTAGAGGCAGTATCGGGATCCTCATAACTAACCCATTCACCGTGTTCGCCTTCACTGTTTGGAGCCCGATAAGCGTAAGTGCCATATTTGCGGGTAGGATCTGAAACCCGACGCAACGGTGCTAAAGCTTCGTTTTTGTCTACATTAGATGGATTAGGAAGTTTCAAGCATACTTCCGCCCAATTAAGCAGGCCGGGGATTTTAGTTTGCGGTCCAGCAGGAGCCGGGCCATCAGTGCCGGTTACTATTGGAAATCCATTAGCATTCGAGTCTTTAGTCATTTTCCACGATCGCCCATAACTAGCTACGCCGACATTAATTTTCGTATGCGGTATGCGCTGCGATATCCAGTGATCCACTTGAAAATCAATATTGTAATGGGACAAGCGATTGCCTTCCGCAACAGGGGAAAATAAAGGAGCCGTGTAATCAGCTTCTTCTGGATTGCGTTGAGGTGTAGTGAAATCAAATGCCGCCAAGTTAATGAAATCCAAATTGTTTATTATAGCCGGAGCATTGAAATACCCTGCAAAAGAACCAAACTTAACCAAATCATTACAGTGCTTTTAACACGAGCTTTACTTACAACTTGAGTTCACATTCGGTAATACGGTTAGGGAAAGCATTAAGTTATGCGGCCGAAGAACAGCTTTTAAATCGTTTACCAAATCTGTAAATTGCTCTTTATGTTCATCTGACTTTGGGTCCACGATGAAATCGCCCGTAAAAAGCTTTTTAAAAGACTTCCAAGCCATACCAATATCTGAATGAACTTTGCGAGGTTTATTACGTGGCAACTGAAAAGCTAAGTCCAAGCCATCAAAATTATAACTACGTAGAAGATCACGAGCTGACTCTATAAAGGCACTTTGCTTCTGGCGACCGGCTTCTAAAAGTTGTATGTATTTGTCCGCTCCTTCGCCATCACGATCACCACCGACGCTCAGTAGAAATTTTACGTTGGGAAATTTCTCTTTTAAAGCAGTAATGGTAGCGAAATGACGCCTCTGAACATCACGTTGGGGATTTATACTGGAAACTTGATAGGTATCCGGATTAATGCCCGCATAGCCGTAGATTAGATGAGTACAAAATTGCAAAGAAATCTCCATGTCTGTGGTGGTGAATTTGGCCACACCTGCGAATGTATTGGTTTTTTCTCCGATTAAACAATATCCCTACGAGAATTGCTATAATATTGTAATACTTACCATCCCTTTCTGAACCTTGGGCATCGTAGAAACAAATCAGATTAGATTCAAGAGAATTAACTAATTGAAGTGTAATCAACACTATAGCGATATTGCGTAGAAACTTCATATTTAAATTAATTTAATATGCGGAGAACTGATCTCTCTGCTTGGCAGTTTGACAGCAAAATAAGACTTGATTTACACATTCAATTACTCGAATGACACATTCGTCTAATTATTTATAATCGTGACTAAATCCAGACATGTAACATTCAATGAAACTTCCGACAAGACAATGACTCAAATTGAGAGAATCTGATCAAAGCTTAAAAAGCTCTAACTGCATGAGAGCAATCGCAATCACTTAAGTAATTTCTTTTAAGGAATCTCTTAAACTCTGCCAGAATTAAGCATTGATACTTAGAGAAACAACTATTAAGAGTGAATTATTGATATGTAACGAACGTTCTAGAAATACTTCACCATTTACATACGCATTAAAGTATGGAAGAATTGCAGTGTGCTCTCTTTATTTAAATATTTTATTTGCTCAACTAATTACAAACGGTACTTAGCAGCTCGTAATAACGGATATTTATCTCCCGTGCATAAACCGCGAAAATCATCATAACTCAAATCGAACAGCGATAAGCCGCCAAGATTTTTCGAATGTACATAACCGGCTTTATTGGCAGCTGATTCGGCATCATCGTAACTTATCCAGATGCCATGTTCGCCATCACTGTTGGCTGGGCGATAAGCAAAAACGCCATAACGCTTAGTTGGATCTCCAACACGATTCAAGGGAGCATCGGCTCCCTTCAAATACCTGTTAACGTCGTTGGGAAGTTTCGCACAAATCTCCGGCCAACTTAATAAGCCAGGCATTTGGCTTTGCAAGCCGGCTGGAGCAGGGCCTTCGGTTTTTGAGACCACTGGTGTTCCCGTCAAGCCAGAATCTGAACTTAAACGCCAGGCTCGTCCATAAGTAGCCATACCTAAGATAATCTTATTGGCTGGAAATTGATGTTGCAGCCAGTAATTAATTTGAAAATCAGCATTGTAGTGAGGCAAACGATTGTCTTCTTGCAGTTCATAAAGCGGAGCAGTGTAGTCGGCTTCTTCTGGATTGCGCTCAGGTGTTAGAAAATCAAAAGCGGCTAAATTCACGTAATCTACAAAACCAGCAATGGCCGGAACATCAAAGTACCCTAAGAAGAAAAAAAGAGAAAGTAAAAATATCTTGCTTTGATTTTGCAAAGCAAAAATGGCTTACATGACGAATTAACATTGGGTAGAACCGTAAGCATCAATGAATACCCATCGGCGTGTAGAATATTACGTAAATCTCGGACAATAGTTGTAAATTGTTCCTTATGCTCATCAGATTTGGGATCTACTATAAAATTACCCGTAAAAACTTTCTTGAATTTCTTCCATAACATTCCAATTTCTGAGTGCACTTTGCGTGGTTTATTCTTGGGGAACTGATAGGCCAAATCCAAGCCATCAAAGCCATACGAACGTATCAAATGCAGTACGGAAGTCATAAAAGATACCTGCCTGTTACGATCGCCTTCTAGTAGCTCCATGTATTTATTGGGGTGATCTGGATCAACATCCGCATCGCCGCCAAGACTTAGTAAAACTTTTAGATGCGGATATTTCTGCTTAAGAGCTGTAACCTCAAAAAACTGATGCCTATGAATATCTAAATCCTCTTGCAGACTGTACGCTTGATACGTATTCGGATTAACTCCCAAATAACCGTATATCAAATGAGAGCAGAATTGTACGCCAAGTTCCAGATCAGCTACGCTTAGTTTACCCAAACCTGTTTTTTTCGTAGCACAAGAAAATAAAAAAAAGATTTTTCCTATTATATAAGAATCGCAGCTGAACAAGCATGTCTACGTTGATTTATTTATTTCGGATGAAATTCTAAGGTGATCTCATCTACAATCATGACGTATAGTAATAAAAAGTTATAATGTAACTGCCAGACAATGCGATCAGTAAAAACGAAGCTTATTGTATTGCTTTTTATACCAGACAGAATAGAACATTAATTTATTCAAAGACGCTAGCAATGAAACATTCTCAAGCACGTGCGATAAACTTTATTAATGGAAGTCGCTCGATAAAAATGTTAAATGACGCATGTATTTTCTAAATGTCATTAGATACTGTACACCACTTAGGCTTCGCGAATCCAAAGATACGAATTCGATAAAAGTTTTGGAAATTTGATCATGAAATACTAAAAGGTAAACGTCTTTGACAATGCTTTTCATAGCACGGCTTGCACGCGAACGGACCCAATTTTTGGTCGCACGTGGTCACCGAATTTAGCAAAGTTAGCTTTTTGCCAAAGAGCTTATAATTCCTTCCGCATTTCTTTACAAACTACCAGAACCGTTATGTTGACTTACAAAAAACAGGCACTTTTGATGCAAATGTAGCACATGTCACGCCACTACATCATAAAATATTAAAAGTACGACTTTTTTGATGAGGGAGTTCCGAAAGCGGCCCGACCATAATCACATTTTTCCCTTCTGTTTTGCATATCAAGATTCTATTTCTCATCACTTGGTGTCGAGAAGTATTAAGAAATGGAAAATTTGTTTAATAGAAGGTAAGTTCGATTCAATTCATTTCTAGTAGGGCTTGTTACCCATGGGCCAGAACTTATCGGGGTACCGACCTCATAATATCGAAAACATGTATGAACACAAGTACACCTAGAGAAGTACATCCTGAGATAAAAAAACTTCATGTTATATTGACTGATTTAGAACCGTATTTTAAATGGAACTAAAGCAGAAATTAACTTGGAATGGAACAAAGAATGGAATAAGGAAATGATTTTGAATCGATTGATGTACTACTGGATAAATCCGCATGAGCGTAGTATAGCTTGCATCAGAAGTGATGTATGGCATAAGTAACCCAACGCTCGCAATATCGGACGAAAAGCTTTGTTTTTCCTTTAATGTTAGTTCTCAGCAAATCTTAAAATTCTCTTTTCCTCTCTTTCCAAAAGTACTTTATTAGCGTTTCTAGGAATTGTTTTTATTAAAACGCTGAATACTGTTCAACCACAATTTTAATTTTAATTTACTTAATAAAAGCCACTTATGGTTGCGATTGTTAGAAATTGAAAGAAAATTCACCTTCACGTGTAAAACTCCTGGAATCGTAATAGCACATTAGATTAGCGGTACCATTGGTAGCACCGTGAATTCCCACCGCAAAACACAATAAAATTATTAATAAACGCATTATTAATAATTAGCTCACAGTCGACTCTAACTAATTAAAAAAACAATTTACAAAACAATACCACAACAATTTAAAGTCGAAATGACACTAAACTCGAGAATAAAAAACAAAGCTTTGACGGAGCGATTACAGTACAATGCTACCAATTAAGCTTTAATTCATACAGAATTAACAGTGAAACTGAGATTACAGCAGAACGATGAGAGTGTACAAGAAATCATATATAGTAATCATGCCGTTAATTTGTATGCTGAGCAGATAACTATAAGTTCAATCAAGTGTAATCTAAGACGAACGAATTACTTTATATGCTGAAAACGAAAACAACCACGGCTCTATCAATTTCCCAGTACGAATGAGGGTCACTTCGAGTGAAAACAAACCTCGACTTAATTATTTAGTAATGAATGAAGTGTTTTTGCTTTTTAAATTATTTGCAGAGAATAAATTGATTACGTTCCTGTACAGAGACGGGGATTGCCTTTGACTTATCGTTTAAATAAACATCATCATTGACTAATCATTTAAATAAATAATACAGTTATTGTTGCTATTTATGTTGTTGATTATATTATTACATACGAACGATAATTTAAGGTCGCTTTTGTTTTGATACCCATCATCAAAGAATGAGGGACGTATTCATTTTATCGATATGTTTGCAACACCCAGACGGCGGCTTCGGAGACCCCGCAAAGTGTATATATTTCCCTGGTCGCAAAAGTCAAGCAAGTCAAAAATTTGGCAGAAAAATGTAAAGTTATTCCACGGCGGACGGTATTGAAAATGGTCGAAGCACACGCCTACAGTACATTACGCAAAGTGAGGACAACTCTGTTTCCTAAAAGGAACAAAAATTGGGCTTTGCTCTTATTCCTAAACTATAGGAGATAAATGTCCAAACATTTGAAGGCATGGAAAAATGGAAATGTGTGACCACTCCTACCCAATATTATAGTGTATCAAAATTTAATTGTGTTTTCAATACCTTTATGACGTGCAGAAACAAGCTTCCAAAACACTATAAAGCACACAAATTCTTGCTCAGTTTCAAATTTGGAATGCACCTACCCAGGTCCGCCTATTCGTCTGTCCATCGGTCAGTTTGTGTAACCTTGTCGTATTCGTGGTACACATTCTCCCGCTAGACAAAATGAAGATATCGCCTACAAATTTGCAAAAGAACTTGGAATTGACCCAAAATTTTCAAAGAACATGCTTACAAATCCCCATGCCTATATGACAAAAAATTTTATTTTGAAAATAGAAAAAATCAGCTGCGCACAATTCATATTGTATAGCATAAAAATTTAGTTCCTTTTTTTTAGGATAACTGTGATGTGATGGGTATGAAAGATTCGGTCACGACCGATTACGGTTTTGTTATTTTTATTGTTTATTTATTTATTTATTTTTTTCTTATCAGTCGTTTATTTCATACTTTGAATGAGTATTTACAAGTGTCCTCTCACCGAACGCAATATGGGAAATTTGACGCCGGTGCAAAGACCACGAAAATCATCATAAGCTAAATCATATAAAGCCACTCCGCCCATAAACTTGGTCTTGGCGAAATTCGTTTTAATTCCTGCAAAATCGGGATCGTCGAAACTTATCCAAATGCCGTGTTCGTCATTATCATCAGCCGGACGGAAAGCGTAGTTACCGTAAAGATTCTCTAGATCCTGAACTTTACGTACGGGGGCATCAGCTCCTTTGTATCCAGCTCCATCTGCTTTCGCTAGTTTAGAACAAATTTCTGGCCAGCTTAATAATCCGGATATGTTCGACTGTAGGCCAGGCTCCGCAGGCCCTAAGGTTTCGTGTACAACTGGCTTACACGAAATACCAGACTTGGATGATAATTTCCAAGCTCTTCCGTAAGTGGCAATACCCAAATTAAGTTTATGGGCTGGACATCCATGACTCACCCAATAATTCACTTGATAATCTATATTATAATGTGCTAAACGATTCTCCTCGTCTTTTAGAAATATAGGGGCCGTGTAATCGGCTTCTTCGGGATTACGTGAGGGTGTAAGAAAATCGAAAGCAAACAGGTTAATATACTCGAAATTATTGTAAATTTCCGTAACGTCAAAATACCCTAAAATGAAAAGTATCCTTGATTACCGAAATAACGAAAAATGCTTACAACGTACACGTAGAATTGACATTTGGCAACACCGTCATGGTCAAAGATAAGTTCGCATTGCGAAAGGTTCTAGCAAGATTTCCAACGAATTCTGTATACTGGTCTTTATGTAGGGCAGCATCGGGATCCACAATAAAGTCACCGGTAAACAGTTTCTTAAATTTCTTCCATAACAACCCAAACTCTGAATGAACTTTTCGTGGCTTATTCGTGGGTAGTTTAAAGGCCAAATCTAATCCATCAAAGTCGTTCCTTTTCAATAAATGAACAGCAGATTCTATGAAAGTGTTTTGCTTATCCTTCCCAGATTCTAAAAATCGCATATATTTTCTTCCGTCGTAGTGCCCGTTATCATGATCACCGCCAATGCTTAAATATATACGCAAATGTGGGAATTCAGTTTTCAACGAAGTGATGTCTTTGTAGTGAAACATATCCAAGTCAACATTTAAACTTGAAATTTCATATAAATCATCATTTAGTTCTGCATAGCCGTAGATCAAGTGAGTACAAAACTCTGCAGCGGTCTTCAAAAAGTTAATTTTCATTTCAGCAAAACCTGTAAAGCAAAAATTCCATTTACTTTCACGATTTTAACCTTTTTTTCATTAGCAGTAGAAACCTGGCCGCAAATAACTTTGAGCGTCATAATAACATATCAATCTCTTGTTTTTGTCTACTGGTGGGGTTTGACCTGCACATAAGTGCAAAGTTAGGATTATATTTAAAACGACAAACAAAAGCGACGTCATTGTCTTGTTACAATATTTTCGAACCGTTCTTTCCTGTATGAATATTAATTTATAACTAACGCTTGTACTCAAAGCTTCTTCTCTTTAAACTGCGATTTAATTAAAAAATATTCTTATCACTGCTAGTTTTATTTGCTTTCAGTAAAGAGTATTGGGTATGATTATGTTTTGTTTTGTTTTTATTTACTAAAATACAGGGTTTTTTCTATTCTGTTGCTTTTTCATATTTGTTTTGTTCATTTTCTTAGTCGATGCTTACAAATAATTTTATTAACAGTGAAAATTAATACGAACATGATTCCGCCAATATAAAGTTCTCACGGTAAAGCAGAGCACGTGATATTCTTCATTAAAATGAAAAATTGGGAAACAAACACTACGCCTTACTCTTTTGATTTGCTTTTCCAAAAAATTGAAATAAAAATATTGACAGCTTAACAAAAGGCGAACAAAGAATAAGAAATATAAGAATTTATTAGAGTTATTACCAGGCCTATGTTTTGGGTTTTTTGTTTTAGCCAACCTTCAAACGAGGTCTGATTGGCTTGATGGCTTGTTTTGCATTCAAGAACATGGTGAAGTTAACTGAAATTGGTGCGTACAATAAAGTCTAATAATAAAAAACTTGTCAAAACCGCGATATAAAGGAGACAATTTCTTCTACTCACTTTCACATTAAGGTTTTAAAAAAACTATTAAGAAAAGACGTCACATTATTCTAGAAATCGGTTACTACTTCACCCTCAACTCACTACACTATTGTAGTTAAGCTTCGAAAAACTTCTGTCTATATATAAATTACTAAGCGCTTGGCATAGTCTGGTAGGGAGGGATCTTTTGGGAGGAAGAAACTTTTAAAATCTATATACATATTTACCATGAGATTAAGATTCCTAAGAGTGATGATGGTAGCAGGAAAAAAACTGCTAAAATTTTTTAAATGAATTATTGAATCCATTAGTCAATCCACTTAAATTTTTTCTTATATTTCTTTACCGTCTTACAGTCAAATGAATTTTCCATATATTCATTTTCATTCAAGTCGAACTTTTCTATTATGTTGTGGAAAAAAGAGACATAAGACGAATTTGGTGTTCACCACAATAACACCACTCAGGTAATATTTAAAAATAACATTGCTATCACTGAAGCTTAACAGAGGTATGGTGCACTTGTAGAGATGACGAGTAGGGAAATGAATATATTTTATACCCATACCTCTCCCCCTCTCTCCCTTCTTGAACCCAAAAATTTTGCTATCACTTGAAAGATATTTATAACTAACACTGATAAGAATGACTGCTTCAGAAAGGCTTCTTTCGCTTCGTTCTCTACAAGAGAAGAACCAGGAAATCCTGTATATCGTTTGCATCTGTTATGGACAGTAAAGACAAGCAGTTTTAGAAAATGATTAACAGGCTTAAGAAAAGCCGATCCAGGTGATGCAAGAGTTTCTCAATATCACTTGATATTCTTTCAAGACTCCTTCGGTTCTCAGTTCATACGCGTTGCAAGCGTTTTATAGAAATTAGCTTACCATCTGACGGTGATTTGAAAAATTTTTAAATTTCATTCAACTTCTTATTTAAAATGAAATATTCTCTTGGTAAAATACAAGAAACAGCAACAAGAAAAACAACAACCAACTAAACTCCTTAAATCTGTAAATGCATTTCAAATTATAAATAAAGTTTATGAAAACTTTTGTGCACACACACATATTTAGCTTTTCTTTTTCGGTTTTCAAAAAGGAAAGCAAATGGAAACAATTAAAAAGCATTACAATATTAATGTATTGCTAATGTAGCAAACATAAAATAAACAGACAAAAGTAACTACTCTCGAATAGATAGTCAGTTTTACCTAGAAAGTTATAAACCAAACTCTCTCCCTCTTTCTCTTTCTCTCCATCGCGCTCATTCTATTTAGACAACAATGTAAAAGGGTTATTGAATACTCTCTGTACTGTAAGGATTAGAGCATATTGTTGTGAAGACACGAAGAGGGTAAAATTCCTTTAGCTGGCCAAGAAACGGAAAAGCATTTGCATAGAAAAATAGATTTCCCAAGGAAGGGTTTTTCGTTATTTTACATAACATTTGCTTTGTACTCGTACTCTAATACTTATGTAATATGCGAGAACATCCCATTCAGGCTTTGTGAACCTTTTAATCGAATCTTTGGCTCTTCTTCTTTGTTACTGTTACAATTTATATACATCTCTCAATTGAATGCGATTTTTAATGAAAATATTATTTTAACTTTTCATGCCAACTTAAAAAACTTAATAACATTTCTAATGTCGAGAAAAATAAATAAGTAAGAAAGTTATATTCGGCGGGAGCCGAATCTCGCATACCCACCTCTATGCTTTTCGCATTCTTTTCTTCAAGTCCTTTCATATTATTAAGAAGAAAGTATTCGCGGTGACTTCCTTATTCATTTTAGGATTAATCCATTTTTCGGCAGATAATATATCTTGATTTGAGAAGTGTGCAAAATAGTTTTAAACTTTCCGTCTTGGTCGCCTTAAGATAAATAAGCATAAAACCTCAAAAAAGTGGGAAAGTAAAATTGAATAACTCGTAACTTTGTGAGGGCATGGCTGATTGTTTCCATTTTTGAACATAAAGAGTAGAGATCTACGTAAGGAAACGTGGAAAATTTCAGCCTCCTAACTTAAATAATTTCCGAGTAGCGCACAAAAACCTACAAGTTTTCGTTAACAAAAGCGAAGTTGCGTTCAGTTTACGCTCCACTACGCGCTTCTGTTTTCACTTATTGGCCCATTTTCAATGCCAACCTGCGAGTAAAAACTTCCAAAATCTCTATCAAATTTGAAGTCGATATGTTCATTTTTGCGACAAAAGGAGGGCCATTAATACGCGCTACACATATGCACAGACGGACGGATAGGGCGAAATCAACTCAGAATTTCACGATGATCAGGAATATATATACTTTACAGGGTCTCTTTTTTCTTTTTTACATATTTTACGTATATTTTGGAAAAAATACAAAATGAGTATACCCTCACCTTACAGTGGTGGGTATAAAAAGGAAAGCAAAAGCAAAGGAAAACTGCCACAGTCGCTGCTCTTTTCAAGTAACGAAATTTCCTGGGCGATAAGTTAACAAATGTGGGAAATCCTTCCTACACATGCAGATTACGTTCCTTCCTTTGGCAACATTACCAAAAGTGTAACAAGCCAATGATTCGCTATTAAGAGGTCATCGAAATTAAATGCATTTCATTATGCGTATGTGGGAAAGAAGTTTTAAACAGGAAATCAATTAATTTATTACAAATGTGTAAAAAATTATTTATTTTTTGGTTCATCAATTATTTATGAACCACTTAATTGGTTTTTATTTAATCAGATTCTCAATGAATATGTAAACATATTTTGTATAATTTACATATATGATTGTATGTTAAGTTTGATGCATTGCTTGCGATACAGTTGTTACACAGGTTACTTTAAGTACTTTTTCTATTTGGGGAGTTAGTTGCCACCTTGCTTGTGCTCACTGACCTGATGAAAGGGATGAATAACAAATCTTCATTTTTGGTCTCCCATAATTAGCATAAGCATCTTAGCTACCGGTCCACATAGATGATTTTCTTTACCTTTGTTTATGCTTTTTTTTTAATTTCTTGTAAAATATAATTTATTTATATAATAACAATAATAATTACGACTTATTGATGTGTCCGTATCACATGCGAGAAACATAACAGAAGAGTATTGGAAAAAGTGTATGTAGGGATATTTGGAAAAATCAATATAACACCAATGTTGATGAAATCTCCCTCTATCTCTCTGCCTCTGCTCGTTTTCAGGCAAAAATTTCGAACAAAAAGAAAGAGAAGAACTGACACTAAATCCTATAATCTGAAGAAAGGCAAATAGCATTACAGATCTGTAGAACAGCGAAAGATTTCATTGCTAACTTTCGGATCAAGACAAATTGAACGTTACACATATGCTTTGAATTATGTAAGTCTATATGTATAGGTAAACATTTGTTATAAAAGAATTGGATAACGTAGATAGATATATTATCTACAGAGTATATACTAAAAACTCTAAAAAGAGTATTAAAAGAGCTGGGACAAAATCAAAAAATTTGTTGACAAATGCAAAAAGCCGTAATATTAGCGACCTGCAGAATTATAAAAAGCTTTAAGGATGACATTCAATAAACAAATCAGCAACAAAATTTTACCATTATATATATGCTTTGAATTAACCGTAATTCCACATATATAATCATAGATTCATATATATATATAGCAATTCATCCGCATGAGTAGTCGAGTAAGCGAAACATCGCGTGTTACAACTCTACGGCCGCGGGTTCGGGTGCGGGTAGAGTGCTGTAGAGTTTTCAATACAGGGGAGAGTGTGATCTAAGTTATCTGACATCTTTTAAATCCAAACTTTGTAAATTTATTTATAAAATATGTAGACAATAAAAAAAAATAAGATTTATGTATAAATTTGTTCCTTTTTTAAGAAAACAAAGAAATAATGAGAAGATACTAATAATAACAACAATAATAATAATAATAATAATAACACTAACAATAACGGGGCCATTAAACTTCTTATAAACCCTCGCTTAAGATAGTCAATGATCAAGAAATGTCACAAGGGGAGTATAAGGGTTTCAATTTTTGTTAGATATCGACTATCGCTACTACTGCACCATCGATTCATCAAGAAAGTAGGATGAATTTTTCATATTTATTCGAGATAACCCACTATCAAGCTTTTGAATCTGACATCGTTTCAACGCAAGCCGATACATGTCATTGCGTGTGCAGCCGCAATAGTTGACGGGGCCTGAGGACAACTTATATCTATGCAGGCCAAAGCTACCAACATTTTAGATAATAGCTATTAAAAACAACAAATGTGTGAAGATAGTATCGTTTCTTTGTTGTACTTCTGGCAAAGACCAAGGCTAGCTGTACCAACGCTTTTATGTATTGTTGTAAGGTCCAGTCTTATGCGCATTTATTCATTTCCCATCTCTCTATAAAATGT